GAAACTGTTGCAGTTACATAGACACCTCCTTGAATGACAGTAAGCTTGTTTTTTTCCCTCCTACTGTATCTTAAATATGAGCCTATTTTAAAAATAAATGCTAAAATGAAGTCTTGGAAGTCAATTACCAATCCAAACTGACTGTGTAAAGTCCCAGTTAGTAGACTACCAAAAATAACAAAAACATTTAAAAGCAGTTAATCCCATCAAATGTATAATCTACATCTTCGTGTGTGTTCCCGCTAGCCAGGCTAACAAGATTATCACTTCTAAACAGTGTTTACATTCGTAAACATATCTTTTTGGTAAGATTAACCTGACCCTTAATTTTAGAGTGGTAACAAACAAAACAAAACAAAAAAAGAGGCAACAAGAAACACTTTAAGTTACTCAATGGACATCGGGAGTACCTAGGATGTATTATTTCCATACAGTACCAACACAAATTAAATAAGACAAATTCTCTTTTTGAAGATTAAATACTAAAACTAGATTATTATTTATGATATTATTGTCAAGGTCATTCATCCCTTCTCAAATGGTTTGTGAAATACTGCTGCCTTTAACAGTAAATTACATTTACTGTTACATGACTATCTTTTGGTCCTAACATTGGAAAGCTAAAGCCTTGGGGAAATGTCCCTGCTGAAATGATTTTTAGAATATTCCTTCTTCCCTCCCTCGCCCCCGTTAAAAACAACCACCATAGCAGGACAAAGGCTCAACCTGGGCACAGTCGTGGGTGAATGAAAGGGTGAGGTGGGGGCGATATGAAGGACTTGCCAGTGCTGCCCTTCTTCGGTCCTGGTACCCACTGTGTCCTTCACCAACTTCCTGGGAAGGACCTACTCCGCAGTTAAGGGTTTGAAAGGATTCTCATCAGGTCAGTAATGTCTGAATAATATAATCCTGATCATCACTGAACGGGGGAGCATTTTAACTTCAGACAATGTACGTCGGAGCTCTTACGCCTATATAACAGGGAGAGTAGGTCGATTTCTTTTAGAAGAGCGTTTCGTGAGCTGAATATCACAATCGCCTTTGACTCTCCAGTGCTTGTTGTTTTTTATTTTTATTTCGGTTAAAATCTTTTGACGAGCCCCCTTGGCTTTGTTAAATTCTGAGTTTGAAGGGTTACACATATGAGCTTGGTTTCATTATTCCCTCCCCTACTGAGTGTATTCGATAGGAAAAGCGAGCCTGATGGTGGCTCTGCTTAAGCCTTTTATTTAAACTCAGCCCCACACAGCCCCCCGCAACCATGTAGGTTTGTGTGGGCGACCAGTAGGTGTCGCTATCCCCCTGCTGGCCGGAGCCGTCCAAAGGCACAGACTGCCCCGCCTGATCCCTTTCCCCCAGGGATCTAGTAGGGCTGTAAATATTCTCCTAGTGACAGTATTATCTCACCTTTCTCACCTGCCCATGGTACTGGGGCTTTGTTGGACAGGACCACAAAGTTGTGTCAATCATTGGGAAGGGGCTAGAGAAATAAATGGGGTGAGGGACATGAATCCAACCTCTGTCCCACCCACCCCCAAACGCGCCACCTTTTCACTTGATCTCTGTGCAGTACTAGAAGATCAGCGGTGGACTTCAGCGACCCCGGTGGATTAAAAACAACCAACCAGGTTAAATCAGCATTTTGGACAGATTATTATAGAAACCAGTGAAATAATGGGTCAGTTGAAATCTTAAGTTTATTGATGTTTATGCCAATGTGTAAAGTGCTGAAGAAAATAAAACACAAAAGCCATCAGGAAAAGGTGGCTAATGCTTATTCCGTAAGTGCTAAAGCTACGAACACTGCGTGCATAGAAACACAGCTGCATTGGCTACTTATCCATGATTGATGCTGAAGTTAGCGTTTTGAAGCCTCACAATATTATTGACTCACTAAAATGTATCTAACAAAGAGTTTACCGCACGTCACCCCACTCCTCGCCCCCGGTTCCTAAAAATCTAACCATTTAGCAATTATCTGAAATGTGAATTAAATTCCCCGGTATTAAAATTCTTGTCCTCTCTTCTCCTGCCGCTGCTCTTGGTTTCTGCCTTGGGATGTCATGTAAGAGATTATTAATCAGCAAAAGGATGGGTTGTTTTGATTTTTTGTCTCCAAAGGAGAGGATTTAGCCCTAGTGAGGTGTATTCACCGTAGTTAAGGGAAGCTTTTGTACAGGGAAACCACTGTCCCAATTTAGTAATGTTGTGGGGGCACTAAATTAATAAATAGCATGGTGTCTTATTGAAAAAGTGCAGGTGCTTTTAAAATGTAGGGCACTGATGTTAATTTTTTTTAATGCTTACAGTAAGGGCTTTGGGTGTTGTGAAAAGGACAGTCCTCCAGAGCTGCATTTTTTTCTCTCTGCTACAATGAGCTGTAAAGAATGCCAAAGAATGAGTGCCCACCTGTAAAGTGTGCCTGTACAGGTCTTATTATTCACAGTATGATCGGGTGAAATACTGTATCTTTTACATTTAAAGAGCAAGCAAGCAAGAAAAAAAAGCTGAAACAAGAATTAAAGTTTCTTTTTACAAACACCTTGCTCCATCTCTTAGATCCAATGTTTATCCAGATTCTAGGCATTTTCTGGGTAAAATATGTGCAATGAATAATGATCCTTCTGTGGTATTTTAAAAAACACAGGTGAAATGTATGGATGTGGCGCTAAATATATATCCCTGTATTTTTAGCTTGCAAATGCTCAGTATTAGGTAACTAATGTGTAACGTAATGGGGGGGGAGCGATATTTATTGTTCATATTCTATTCTATTGGCCAAGTTAGTGTTAAAGTGGCAAGTGACTGAAGCAAGTGACAGCTGTCCCTTGCTCTCCCTGTGGCACATGCCTTGGAGGGGGAGGGGCTGCAAGGTGCAGGAGGGCCGGGAAAGTGGCCCTTGCAGATAGAGCTGCGTGCGGAGGAGTTGGGGTTTGTGCTGGTTGCGGGGCTTATTCAAATGCCGCCCGCTGCTGCTGTGATTCGCAGGGACTCGGCCTCCATATGGTAATACAGAGCGAGGGGCGGGGGTGTGTGTGGAGGGGGGGGGTGTCGGGTGATGGGGGGGTGCTCAGGCACCGCTCTGGAGGCAGCCCGGCTGGGACAGAGCACCGGCACCGGAGGCAGCGCGGCAGCGGCTCTCCCCACCCTCCAGCGGCGGCACCCAGCGACCCACCGGCCCCGGGGTAAGCAGCAGCACACGCAGCGGCAGCCAGCCATCCAGGCGCATCGGGCACTGCCCTGCACCACTAAGGGAGACCAGGCACAGAGAAGGAGATGATAGAGCTTTGGTTACAGCATCTATCTACCCATATAGACATAACGTGTACACCACAGACAGATGTGTGACACAGAGAGCTGTGCATTGTATAACAGTGATATATGTAACGTGCCGACCTATGTACACGCATTCATACACACAGATGGGTGTCTATATGTACAAACATGTACCTGTGCATATACAAGTTACGCGTGTTATTCACACACATATGTACGTGCACGTAAGTGTGCATCTCCCTCTCTCTTAATACAGAGGCAGAGAGCTATGATTCACAGGTTTTCATTCAAATCAGCCTAGAAGACTGAATTGTTTTAGCCAGCTAGGTGTCCCCAACGTTACATGTAAACGAGCGACTCTGCAATCAGTTGTAGAGTCCTACAGTTATTCATAAAAATGTGTAGAAAATGTACTTTCCTAATATATTGGTGCTATATATGGTAAGGTAAGAACTAACCTAATGGATGGTAGTGCCTGTTTCCGTTTTTTCTTTCTTTCTTTCCTTTTTTTTTTTTTTTTTTTTTTATGTTTTACGTGTGGCCATCTGACCACTTTTTATTGGGTGACCTATCATATGAGCACTTTAGTGTAGGGCTTGTAAATCTAGAGCAAGAGGCAGCGCTTGAAATACCATAAGAATCGCTAAAGAATTAAAGTATACATGTTGTGAAACAGGTGCTGAATAATGTAGAACGAAAATTACACTCTGATATGTATTTCGAAATATATGCATTACAGTCTTTGCGGAGGGCTAACTTTTGCCCTACTCGTTCGTGCAGGTAAGTCATTCATAGTGTAAATAATTACCTATGCATATGCTTAGACTTATTTAATTTTAAAAATGTGTGTGTACGTGCGGGCATTGTTCTTTTTATGGTACGAAATTCTACATTTTTTAAAAGCATACTATGGCTAGAAAGACGGTAATATTTTATTTTTAAACAGTTTAAACTATTTGTTTGGGGGTTAGAATATTTCCCCCCATTAAAATAAAGTGAAATAACCTAACATTGTTTTAACATACTTCAAGGCCTGTGGATTTTAGGATAAATAAAATGTATTGATATCGGCAATATTTTAAAATAACATATGAAAATGCTTTTTCAAATCACATAGGTGTCGGTTTTAAGCCACATAAGTTAAAAATAAAACGTAACACATTATTAATGTAGCCGTTAAGACAGAACGTACAACATGGTTGAAAATGTCTTCCTTGGAGAAAGCTGACCATACCTAGATCTACACAATTTAAAGATAATATTTTGAAATCAAAGATTCTTGAAATCAACAGAGAAATACGTGCGTATATAGGTAGTAATTCAGCATCGAAATATTAGAAATCGTTTGAAACAATTCCTATTACGCTCTTTATCTAGATTGCCTTGTCCCCTAAAATGGTATTTTTTCTAATATGAAGTTAATTAGGAGGTCAAACTTTCACTCGCGAGCTCCTGCCATTACAGCTGATCAAGGTACACGTCAGTAATATGTGCCTCTCCTTTTAAGACTAAACAAGAATGTTGTGCAGCTTGAATTGTATTAACAATGTGCATATTTGGTAACCTTATACAACCAGAAGCAGGGAGGAAACTGTATATAGAGCACATACAGCAGAGCAGTCTTGCAAAAAATAAAAGGATTTTTTTGTTTAAATCAAGGAGGAAAATATAAAGAAAATGCGCTAGCCTGTAACTTTCAGTAAATTAAAAAAATGCAAATATACCTTTACATATGCATCAGTATTAAAAATAATACACGCTGGAACCAACAGGAGCAGCAGCAGCAGGAGGAGGAGAGGAGAATGGCGCAGCGGCGAAGCCCTGATTATGCATAGAGAGACGTCTGGAGCAGCCTCCTCTAACCTGTTCTCTTCTCCGTGCAGTGCTGCAGGCCGGCCGTCCTCAGTCAGCCACAGAACCGGAGCAGCAGAAATCTCTTCTCAGTGCCTAACAGATATTTGTCATTCGGGGTTTTTGGTTGTTGTTGTTTTTTGGGGAGATGCGGGGGGGAGGGGGAGGGTTGGTTTGTTTCTGTTCCTTTAATTACAATCTTCAATAACAGGGACGATCGCTCCGGGAATCTACAGTCTCTTCTTCAAGCAGCAGGATTTGCATATTTTTAATGCCCTAATTTCCTTGATGTATGTAAATGCAGCCGGACGTACAGTAAGACTCGAGCTGACGTCAATGGACGTGACCTCGCTGTTAAACCTTGAACGTGAAGCTGGGATGGGGAAAACTGACGAGAGAGAGGGGGAGATGCAGCCTGGCTGCTCGAAAAGGGCGCAAGCAGCGGAGGGGATACATTACAGCGGCGGCGGAGGCAGGAGCCAGCCAGCAGCCGCAGCAGCATCTTGAGCTGCAGAAGCCGTGGAAAGGCAGCTGGACACGTGTGAAGAGCTTTCCTCGGCTGCCTGGCTCGTCTCCATCCGCGTTTTGCAAGCCACCTGAGCTGATCAGCGCCTCCACCCCGTAAAATAAACGTTATAACAATTCCAGCCCTCCCTCCCCAAACAACAGCAGAACAAGCGCAACGTCCTGTAAATGATCCCACCAACAAAAATGGGACACCCTTGCTGCTGCTCTCCAGAAGATAATGAGCGGGAATTCTACAACGTCGGCATTCACTACCCTTCCCCTCACCCCCCCCCCCAAAAAAAAACAACAACAGTAGCAAACCCAGATATTAAAAGATAGACGTGAGTTCAGTGGGTTCAGGTAAATCGTCAGCTTAAGTGATCAGTGTGCTTCCCGTGGTACCTGGTTAGTGATACAGTGTTCTGTACAGTGGCTGTAAGGGAACTGCTGCTGCTGACAATGTCGGTTTGGAAAGAAGAGACCGAAAGCAGAAGAATCGCCAGGCTCGTAGCGATTCACCCGCATGCCTTGTAAACCTAATTGCTATACGCAGGGGTGGCACTGATCTGCAAGTGAATCTTGGTCATAAGCACTTCTCTTGGTGTTGCGTTCATTTCTCCCCTTTGAAGGGAGAGGCTGAATCTAAGGAGACCCTGAATTCTGAACGTGCCTTATTAACTAAAACGGGGACAGAAGAGAGCAGATGTCAGAGGGGCTTTCTGAAGCTGCGCTTCCCCTTCTCTCTGACTTTATCTTTTATTGCTCCCCCTATAGATACATAGGCCTGAAGAACCTTTACGGGCAGGGGGATTTCCCGAGATGAGGCTTCAGAATTAGAGGCAGTCACGTTTTTGCAAATCATGGACATGTTTCCTTACTATCTAACTTTTCCTTTTCTCGTGCCACTGTGCTATGTTTCATGGCCTTTCTGTAGATTTCGGCACCATCAGCCTTATAGTAAACCAGATGAAATATGTAAGCTGCAAGCTAGCGACTTCTCTCTCTCTCTCTCTCTCTCTCTCTCTCTCACACACACACACACACACAAATCTTTGTCTTCTCTCATAGGTGGGAAGCAGCACCTGCGAGCCCCATGGTGTGGCTGTGGGTGTGATTGTGGCAGTGAGGTTGCAGTGGCGGCCACTGACAAGGACACGAGTGACCGTCTGTCCTTTGGCTACAGTTGGCGGGAAATCTGGGGGCAGAGCCCTCGGTGCTCTCAGCCTGCGTCTCTCATTACCGCCTCCCATCTCCCTGCAGCCACATTTCCATACGCGATACTCATCTGATTTTTGTTTTGTTTTGTTTTTTGTTTTTTTTTCATACTTTGCCCCTCCCCCGCCCGCCTCCACTCGTCACAAATACCCAGCCCTGCACATAGACACACTCTGCACCCACACACTTCTTGACACCCACACATGCAATAAAGCAACCCACCACCATAGAGAAAACACGCTTATCCATGCACAGATACATTCTACAAACACACCCACCCAGAGACATATTTACACACACACACAACCTTCCCCATCAACACACAGCCTTGCACGCAAACATTCCTACAAACACACACCCTATACAAAGGTTCTTACAGCCTTCCTTCACAAACACACCTCCCCCGCACACCTCACGCCCATGTTCTCCTTCTTGCAAACAACCATGCTTCTACACTGTGAGTCCTCACCGTCTCACTAATGCATGTCCATATCTCTACACACACAATAATACCCGGCCTTCTTTCTACACTCTCCACAGGCTCAACCCCTCCCCCGCAACTTTTTAAAACACTCCCCTTCTAGCTCTCTCTCTTTGCAATGGCTCCCACTAAGCTCCATAAATCCATCCTAAAATCCATTTACTAAAACTGTCGATGCTGTCCCCCTTGTTTTGAGCGCAAAGCACTGAAAAACAAAACCAACCCTCCTTCCAGAAATCAATGCTATGACGAGAGGTCCCTCTAGAAGTTTGCAAGGGAAAGAGGTTTTGGTTTCATTTGCTTTTGATATGGACAAAAGTCATACATAACGGCAGTGCCTCCCGAAACAAGACGCAGAAGAAGCTGTTCCTCAAAAGTTAACTGGATGAAAACATGCTAGAAAACGCAACTTCTTGGGGCAATTTTTGTAAGTTTCCAAAGAAATGAGTGCTTCCCTCCTGCTATAGGAAAACGTAGCCATTGCTCTTCTTTAGACTAGACATTTCTAATTTGTTCCGTCTGTCAGAAGGGGACTATGAGAGGGTTTGGTGCAAATTCATTATGTCTGGCAACGCATAACTTATAGTAGGAACTGAAAAAGACCGTGGCAATGGATGAACAATAGGGCTTCAGTTCATCAGCAACAAAAGCGTTGGGGAAATTGGTTGAATTTCAGAGCACGTCCTCCTCAGCAGAGAGGGCTGGACTAGACCTTGGCCAACCCCCCCCTCGCTCCCCCCCCAAAAAAAAACTTGCAGAGCCTCACGTACAACACTTCACTTTCTACTCTGGGGCTTAGGAAGCAATATGGAAGAAAAAACTTTTTTTTTTCTATTTCTTCCCTGTTTTTCTGGATGGAAGCGCTTTCTAAGTCTTTTTAAACTAACCATACAAGAATTATACCATGGAACTAAGCTGCAGTTTCAAATAAAGGTGATGATCTGCATTTCTGGAGACCTGAAGGAACCCGCTGTCTATGCTTTAAGGGGGGGCTTGACCGTGGGATCTTTGTTTGCAGTCGGAGATTCATCCCTTACATCTAGATCGGGGGGGTCAAATGTTTCTTATAAGGAAAAAAAGTAAGTATAATTGGGGGAATATAGAGGATCAGAATTCTTTGTCAAATGGAGAAAACTGAACTTCATATCACACACGTGCTTCCAGAAACATGTCTTTATGAATCTGAGCTCGGTTAGTGTCTCTATGTCAGGTTCGGGGGCAGTAGCTGCTTCTTTTGGTCGCAGACTGGACACGTTGCCTTATTAGCACTCTTATAACTTGCAGTGATGACTGTGAGGGAAATCTGATTAACAGGACAGAGTTTCATGAGTTTACATGATGACTTATATTGGTTAACTGATTTAATACGTGCGATGCTAAACCTGTTGGTCCTGTACGTAGTTAGGTCTGTGAACTATTAATTATCAAACAGATTGACAGTAAACGGATAGCCTGAGCGTTTAAACATAGAGAGAGAAAGCTTTTTAGCAACGCCAGGATGGCTTCTGCAAATGTATCAACATAAAAATAGTCTTCACAGTGGCTGTCATTAGCGCATTGTAACTAAAACTGATTGCTCTCACATTTTCAAGTTTGTTTTAATCTGATAATGAAAGCATATGCTTGTTTATGTAAATGTGAAAAGGGTTATTTAATGTAGTTGATAAATAAGATTTTTATATACCCGTGTTTAGTGGGATAGCTCCAATCCGAGCAGCCATTACTTCCTGGGTTATCCAAAATGCACCCTAATCAAAATATGTATTATTTTATGTCGAGCTGATTGGTAAAGGTTGCATGATATTATAACTATTCATATATTGGACAACACAGCATAGGAAGCTATATTATGTTTAACACAGACTAAATTCGGATTCAAATCTACACCTTTCTGTAGTATGCGTATGCAGAGGAGTGAAATATTGTAGACGCCAAAGCAATCAATTTATACTGGTGTATTTGCTGGGTTTCCTATTGCTAGTGTAACTGTGGGTTACTGAGCAGGGAATGTCTGTGAGAGTCACTTCAGCAGCTGAATAGCTCAGAACTTGGGTAAGAGTTTCCCAGTATGTCAGGGCCACGGCCAGAGGACCTTCCAGCAACTGAAGGCTGCTGCACAGGTTGCAGTTTAGGCCGAACATAGCGGACTATACAGTCCGCAGGCAAGGTGTCTACCCCCGACCTTGGTACTAGTAATTACAACGCACACCCGGGCTAAGAGCTCCAGTAGGCAGCATAATTGAAGGCAATGCACTTATGCACTAGTGTTCATCTTCCAAAAGAAGAAGAAACACTGAGCATTCATGAAAGGGATAAAAAGAAATCCTTCAAATGCAAGTATAAAGGAATACATATCACTTTGCAATGAATGTCTTTGTTATTTTCTAATTTTTCATTAATTTCTTACTAATTTAACCGATATGATTACATTATTTAGATTCACACATACAATGTATTGTTCAGTAACTCCTTAAATATAGCCTATATCTTTCTAATGATATTGATTTTAGGACATCACTGATGTAAAGCACCTGAAAATTCTGTCTTGAAAATACTGGCATAATGTGTTTTGCATATTTTGAAACTGGAGGCTAGGTGGAGCCTCTATCCTTTATCAAGTAACTGGCAGCTTACAGAATGCAAATATCTGAACTGCCTTCACAGTTTTGCCCCCTCTACTCAACAACCCCAAAATATTTTTGCTATTCTTAATAATAAAATTCCTCCCAAAGAATTGTGGTTATTATCTCCCTATTATTAATTATTATTATTATTTCCATTTAAATTTTAGTTATGTTTAACCCTTCAGATACCATAGTACACCACTCATTATATCTGCTTTATGGCATATTAGATTATCTGCAGGAACTATAGTGAGTTAAAGTATTTTAGTCAATTATTTGATTATATTAAATGTCGAGATACATCACATTTTCTGTGCACACATATGTTTATCATTGTCAAACACCCTATACATACAAAATTCATGGACTGTAAGTGTTAAAATTATGATCATTTGCTTTTTTGGCTATTTTTCAGATTCAGATTAAGAAGAAGGATCACAAGGGATGGCAATCATCAAGAAATG